ATCTTGCATGTTCTTCACATGTACCCCAAAACCTAAAATGCAATAAAATAAATAATTGGGGGAAAAAAAAGAATGCATGTAGAATATTAAGCATAGAGCTTGACATATAATAAACCTTCAAAATGTATCAATTATTGTTAGTATAATTATCTTTATTATGTCCATTAACCTCTCACTGTTTCAATAATGTTCTACTTTACAAGAAAATATCCCCTATTTTGGGGACTCTCACTAGAAATACAATGAGTCAAAATTCTTTGCCTATAAACTCTACTTCTTTAAAGTCTACTTGTTGGTCCTAGTTCTGCATCATCGTAGAAATTCTTCAAAGCTTGGAAGTAAATATCTTATTCTCCAGGACATTCTCTACTTATGAGTCTAAGCTCCAGAGTATAAATAACGTTAGAATTAGCTAACAGATTTCAGCATCACCTACATATATATTAGATTGGTGAACAAATATTGGATATTCTGGTAGTTTGAAATGTTAAATGTTGAAGAGATTGGTTTAGACATTTAATTAGCCTGTCTCCAGGCATCTAATGAGTTTTAAAACCTAAGGTTGGGGTAAAGTCATGTATTTCTCTCACTTGCCTCTGGATTGAAGTTTCTGCTTTTACTAAATTTACCATTTTTATTCTATGTTTTGTCTTCTCTCTCCGTGGTCTCTTTTATCTACCGCATTACCACTCAAGACATCATCACAATCCCTTCACTCAACCAAAGTACTGCTATCTCTAAGCCACGTGAGTTTCAGACTTTAGTGAAGGTTCAGTTATGGTGGAGGGTTATACTTTAGAGCATCCCAGCAAAAGACTTACAATTGAGCATTTACCATTGCTATTTTTCTGAGAAAATAACCTTCACTGGTTACTTTTCTGCTGGGTCTCCAGGCTCTTGGCATGTTGATAGGCCTCTTTCTACTTTGTATTATTTACATTTCATCTCTGTTTTGTGCTCAAAAATTCTTCAAATAACTGTTCATTTCTATTTCTTTTTCAGATTTTTAAAAATTTTTAATTTTTGTAGGTACATAGTAGGTGTGTGTATATATGGGGTAAATGAGAAATTTTGATACAGGCATGTAATATGTAATAACCAAATTACAAAAAATGGAATATCCATCCCCTCAAGCATTCATCCTTTGTGTTTCAAACAATCCAATTATACTTTTAGTTATTTTAAAATGTACAATTAAGTTATTACTGATATAGACACCTTGTTGTGCTATCAAATACTAGGTCTTGTGATATCAAATACTGGGTCTTATTCATTCCTTCTATTTCTCTTCAACCCATTAACCATCTCCATCTCCCCCTCAGCCCCCAACTACTGTTCCCAGCCTCTGGCAACCATCCTTCTACTCTCTATGTCCATGAGTTCAATCGTTTTGCTTTTAAGATATCACAAATAAGTGAGAACATGTGGTGTCTGTCTTTCTGTACCTGGCTTATTTCGCTTAACATAATGGTGTCCAGTTCCATCTATGTTGTTGCAAATGACAGGATCTCATTCTTTTTATGGCTGAATAGTACTCCGTTTTGTATAAGCACCACATTTTCTTTATCCATTCATCTGATGATGAACACAGAGGTTACTTCCAAATCATGGCTATTGTGAACAATGCTGCAATAAACATGTGAGTGCAGATATACTCAGCAGTGGGATTGCTGAATGATATGATAGGTCAATTTTTCATTTTTGAGCAACTTCTAAATTTTTTTCCATAGTGCTGATTTCATCTCCTAAATCTATCACAAAGATATCCATTTCTTCTTTCTCCTGAATCACTGCTGTAGCCTTTCTGCTGGCCTCCCTGCCCTCTTTTTCCTTTTTTCAATCCGTTCTCCATATTGCTGCCAGTGTTCTCTTCTCTACACTTATAATAAAGTAAAAAGTCTATAGTGCTGCCCACAAAGGCCTGAATGTTGTGGTCCCTGTCAACCTTTCCAGGCTTCTGAAGACTTCTCCCCCTCACTCACTGTGCTTCTTCAAGTACATCAAGTTTATTTGATCTCAGATTCTTTACACATGTCATTCTCTCTATGGAGTGTTTGCCTTACTCTCTCCTTTTAGTCATTCACTAGAGTTTATATATATATATATATATATATATATATGATAAATAAATATATATATATATATACACATACATACATATATGCTATATATATTTAGTAATGTTTTCCCTGCCACTCTAGGCCAGGTTAGGAGGCCTCCCTTCCACTTTTAAGTGCCCTAGCACCTTATACTTCTTTATGACACAGTATTCTTGCAATTATCTGGTTGGTGTTATCTGTCCTAGTAGGCTATAATCTTCACTGGGACATAGACTATGTGCTAAATAAATGTTTACTGAATGAATGAATGAATGAATGAATGAATTTCAGTGTTTGTCATTTTTGCCGGGTTGTAAACTTTTTGATTGCAAACTTTAGGTTCCTGCAAAGCCTAGCCCAGTACATTGTATAAACTGTCTCTTTTATTCTTCTCCACATATATGTTTGATTAAATCAATAGATACTTGATGTCAAGATGAACTAGAATACCTGGAATTCCTCATTATTTTCCAGAATCCCCTCTCTTATATTTATTATGTGTATTTCCTTTTTCTACTCCAAGTATGTTCCATATTTTGTCTCCTTCAACAATTAATCTTTGTGACTACAGAAAGCTTTTCTAGTTGGCAATTCTTTCCCTTTTTAATGTCATAGCATTTATTCTAGAGCACAAACAGAATTGCTGTGTACTCAAAGCATCATACAATTGTATAAAGAAGACCATTATCTTTACCTAAGGTGAGGTGTTCTCATTTCTGGGAGGCAAGGGGAGAGATAACAATCATGCATATGAAGAACTTGCATTGACTGTGAACATTAAATCCAATGATCAGATGATTGGGATTTGCATTGTGGGTGATAATTCATCCATATTACTGCCTGTTGTCTTCATTTATGTAAATTAAAGCTGCAGGGTTTGCCTTTGTGCAAACTTTCCCTCAGTCTGTGAATGTGTCTTGCCAGGCTATTCAATTATTTGAAGAGATAATGGCAGAATTGTATTAATTTGTTTTGAATTGTTGGACTCAAGGAATTAATCACCCACAGAGCTCAATTGTTGTTTGCAGAACTTGGAGTGTTATAGAATGAATAGCTCTGAAATATCTCTTCAGTGCTCAGAAAGAAAACCATGGTGGAGTGAGTATTAAAACGGGAGTCCAAAGCCTTACAGTGTAATCTCGACTCTGCCTCTGTGTAACCAACAATGCCTCACAAATCTCCCTGTACCTGTTTTCTCTTTTGTCAAGCAAACTTCATGTTATCACCACTCACTACTTACACAGGGTTACTGTGAGGATCAAATGAAGAAAGTACAAAATGGAAGCTACATTAAAAATATATATACGTCTGGCCAGGCCTAGTAGCTCAAGCCTGTAAACCCAGCACTTTGGGAGGCTGAGGCGAGTGGATCACTTGAGCCCAGGAGTTTGAGTAGTCCCAGCTACTTGGGAGGCTGAGGTGAGAGGATCGTCTGAGACTGGAAAATGAGGCTGCAGTGATCTGTGATTGTGCCACTGTACTGCAGCCTGGGTGATTGGAGTGAGACCTTGTCTCAAGGAAAAAAAAAATCTTGATTGCGGGGCGGGGAGAGCCGCGGGAAGGGCACACCAGGCAAGAGGGGGACAAGAGGCGCTGTGGCAAGAAAAAGTGACTAGCTGCCCTTCGTTGTCAGCCAGGGACGAGAACACAGCCACGCTCCCACCCGGCTGCCCACAGTCCCTCGGCGGCGATGTCGGCTGTTGGTGCCCGAGACCTGCAGGCCACCTACCACCGTCTCCTTGATAAAGTGGAGCTGATGCTTCCAGAGAAACTGAGGCCATTGTATAACCATCCAGCAGGTCCCAGAACAGTTTTTTTCTGGGCTCCAATTATGAAATGGGGGTTAGTGTGTGCTGGATTAGCTGATATGGCCAGACCTGCAGAAAAACTTAGCACAGCTCAATCCACTGTTTTGATGGCTACAGGGTTTATTTGGTCAAGATACTCGTAATTATTCCAAAAAATTGGAGTTTGTTTGCTGTTAATTTCTTTGTGGGGGCAGCAGGAGCCTCTCAGCTTTTTCACATTTGGAGATATAAGCAAGAATTAAAGGCTAAAGAACACAAATAAAAGAGTTCCTGATCACCTGAACAATCTAGATGTGGACATAACCATTGGGACCTAGTTTATTATTTGGTTATTGATAAGGCTAAGCTAACTGTGAGTTTGGAAGCCACAATAAAACTAACTGGAAACCATCATTCTCAGCAAACTGCCACAAGAGCTGAAAATCAAACACCTCATGTTCTCACTCATAGGCAGGTGTTGAACAAGGAGAACACATGGACACAGGGAGGGGAGCACTACACACTGGGGTCTGTTGGGGGGAAATGGGGGAGGGACAGTAGGGGGTGGAAAGTTGGGGAGAGATAGCATGGGGAGAAATGCCAGATATAGGTGAAGGGGAGGAAGGCAGCAAATCACACTGCCATGTGTGTACCTATGCAACAATCTTGTATATTCTTCACATGTACCCCAAAACCTAAAATGCAATTAAAAAAAACTAGCTGTAACTAGCAGCTAGTGCTTGATTCAACAACAAAATAAAGCAAACTTTTAATAGCCCCCCCCAATAAAAAGAAAAGAAAGAAAGAAAAATCCTATCAGCAGAGGAATGTGGAAGGCTATTGGCACTTTAGATACTTTATCTCAATCTTCCCTCAGGTCAGTCTTATTGACAGCTGGAAATCATTCATTTCTCTTTTCACAACTTACCACTAAACAAACCAATGCATGAATCAGTTTTCAAGTGGAGAATCAAAGCTGGGAGGTTAAGGAATAAGAAAAAATAATGAGACCTCCAAATCGTAAAACTCCCACAAATGTGCAATCATTACAATTTCTATTGGGATGAAGAGACTAATGTCATTCTCTTTACATTCTTCAGACAATAGAAACATGTTATCAGCAAACCAGTCACCATTTATTGTCCAGGGATCAAAAATAACATGCTAAATATTAATGCAAATATATTTCCATTTTTGTGCAATATGAATATATTTCAAACATTAATGATTTCAAACAAAAGAAACCCAATTTTTTATTCCACACAATTCTTCATTTTGTTAAAAAAAAGTTCTTTTGTACAAATGCAAGTGAATAAAATGTATTACCAAATATAACTTGAAATGTATTAAAATTAATCCCTTATACCTACGTAGTAAGTATGGTGGGATCTGCAGCACTCAAACTCAGAGTCCAAAGCTTCAGATTTGGCATGGATGCAAAGGTTGGGCTGGATGAATTCATCTTTACTTGATTAACCTTAATATTTTCTGCTTAATACATAATACATAAGCCTTTTACAATATACTTTGTTTCATACAACCCATGATTCTGAAATATATGCAAAGTATCTTTTAAAAAATTGGATTATTTTTAAGCATATTAGGAGAATTTACTATTTACAGAATTAATGTGGTGCGTCTTTGTATTAGGTTGGATTTTATGAAGTTGGTGATATTTGAGGTTTTTTTGGCCTATAAAAATGGCAATTTCATATGGTTCAGCATAATAAAAAATGAAGAATTGTTGTTTTCATCTTAAAACAGAGTACACACATATATAAATAACCTATCTGTTTGTATACTGGCTAATGTGCAATTTTGGAGGGAGTGGGGGTGAGGGAAGGCAATCCAAGTCAGCATTTTGAATAGAAGGATAAATTCAAATTGTGCCCTCTGGTTACTCTAGCTGCCTTTTTGATCAGTAAGATATGTTAATTAATACATTGGGGAATAAATATAATGTAAAAATTATTTTCTTTACAGTGTTTGCTACAATGAAAACATTCATTTTATTTTTCTAAAGATTCAATACCATGTGAGTCATTATAGTGACACATCTGCTTAAAAGTATTTCCATTTATATTGTCACTGCAAATTAGGTGGGGGGGAGTTATGCTGCTATTTTGGTGTAATCTGTGTTGTGTCCTTTGGTTAATGCTCAGTGTGGATCTGGATCCCTATGGGGTAGTTGTGATGAAAGAGGGTGGTAGTTTTCCATGTGAGCAACCTAATCATAAGTTAGAAATCTTCATCCAAGTCATTGCTTAAAAAGCAGTTTTATTCTCCTGAAATTTCGGTTGGGGAGGTCAGATGGGAAGAGAATAGATTTTCAGTCTGCATCTCTATTGGATTCAGCAACAACGTATTTTGTACCTTGCTATTCATTGTGGTTGAAAGTATAATCATTTATCCATTTATCCAGCCACTGACTTCTTAACTGTAAAGTGCATTCGAATACTGTGGGCACAAAAGGGAGAGCCTGGAATGAGGGAAGATGTGTGTTCTTAAAAAGTTCTGGGGGTTATTGCCAGCCTTTGATGAAGTCCATGTTTGGCTGCCAAAGCTCAAATTTTAAAGGGTCCACTGAATCTGGGTGTTGAATAAACACACAACTTAGACCACCAAGGTGTAATAATGTGAGTCACTTTGAGTTTTGAAAAATATATGCCCTGTCCAAGTCTTGGCCTACCTACTAATTTGTTTTGCATGGTGCAGAATGCAGCTCCCATCTCTGACAGTGCACAGTTCTAACAGGTGTGGCAGTTAGCCTTACTGCTAAGTTTAGCTCTGCATGTGGGGATTTTACAGTTGCAGCCCCTTGGAGAGGGGAGCATTGACAAATGACTGTGTGTAAAAGTGGAAAGCACTTGGGAATTTCACTACCAACCTAGATTTAGATCAGAGAAAAAGGGCCAATCTAAATTGGTTACAGAGTATGAAGAGCTACATGTCTGGGGGAGGTGGCATTAAGCTAACATCTATTCAATTTTTCTCTTACCACCATTACAGTTCCTGAGAGATCATTTTGTGAAATTTGGTGATCCCCCTTTAGATACAAGGGATCACTTATTTTTTTGTTTTAGCAGGTAGAATTTAACACAGGTATACCCATCCTTTGGTGGCAAGAATATGATCAGTTTTTAAATTTCTAATATGTAAATGGTACTCATCTCCTTTGGTTTTCCTTTGAAAAGTTAGTTTTAAAAATTAAATTATCTCCACACTACTAGCATACTAGGGCTACTTATGAGAATGGAATTTTTCAAAATATAATTCTCTTACAGATAATAAGTAAAACACTTCATCTTTTGGCAGGGATCAAGAAGGGAGAAACATTCTCTGGGAAATACAAATGTGACATTTGAGGACATTGATCTCAATAAGGATTAGTTGGAGGATGTTGTTTAGTCCTTTCCTCCTTTGTCTCTCATTTTTTTTTTTAATATACTCAGATCTAAAGAGTCTAATGATGACTAAATAGCTCTCTAATCACTTTTCAGCAAAAAACAAACAAACAAAAAAAAAACAAAAAAACCCTGGGACTCAGAAGGCTTGAATGTTTTGTCCAAAGCCACATTCAACAACAGAATAACAAAATCATTTCATTTCTGCTCTAAAGTACAGTTGAGTCTTGTTTGCAAAGGCACCTTTTAAACAAAGCTCATATTTGTGTGCAATTCTATCCGAGAGGGTGATAGGGAGAAAGAAAGAAAGAAGCTGCATGGGTATAGAATTAACATGGATATAATATGAACATTTTTCTCTCTCTAGATGAGCTTGTTTACTAGAATCTTCTTTCTGCAAACTTACTCTTTAAACTGAAACAGTTTCTTTAAATCTCTTCTTTCATTTGGGACAAACCTGATGGCCTAAGATGATGAAATCACTGCTGTTCAGGGAAAGGGCTCGTGGCCCCTTCCATTAACCTCTGACATAATTTAATTTCTTATAGAGGTGATTCTTTCCAATCAAAACACTAAATCAGGACTGCTCCTTTTCTTGGGATATCCTCTTTGAATGATCAGCCCTTTCAAAAGCAAATCTTCTTTGTTTGTGTTTGGAGGTTCCAGAGACCCTGTGTTTCTCACAACCACTGCGTATGAATTTCTGTGGTCTGAGGTTTGTGCAAGGCCCAGGTGCTGTTTGGTTACTATGGAAACCAGCCCTCCCAACCAGCTGTCATTTCCTATATTCCTTTCAGAGTGAGTCTTAAACGTTTTAGATAGCCCACAAGCAGAGTAAAGATGAAGAATAACACAAAGAAAACATGAACAGTTTGTTGTTAAATGAACAACTTGTGGATTCCCTACATGGGAAGCTTCATGCAAGAAAGCAAACTCTCCTGGACATCCATATATGAGGGTTTACCCAGATCCACTAAAGCTCACCTTCATCCTGGCTTTAAGGAGTGGGGATTCGAGTTTGCATCTCTACATCTGTGAACTGAGGAACACTTTCTGTGCTGTCAGAGTTGATGGGTGAGATGACATGTTTGAGTCGAAGAAGCATTGTGAAGAGCAGGATGAGGAGAATGGCCAGGAGGCTCAGGAATAAGCCCACATACATGTACAGGTTGGAATACTTATCTGAAGAGGTATCAACCTCTGTTGCCAGAGTGGGAAAATGGGCACGCCCAGTGAGATTTCCATGGTATCTAAAATGTGCCTCCGTCATCACTCAAGACTTGAGTTGGTATGTGTTTCTATTTGATTTCTATTGCCCTTGAGGCATTTCACAGTCACTTAGACTGTCTCTAAATTTATTGGACGTATTCTAACAATCTGACAGAAACCAGTCACTCTCAGAGCTAAGGCAATAGCACAGAAGCAGAAAATGGTAATGCTATAGTTTGACAATTGCCACACCCTCTCTATCCTTCAGCACAGCAATCACCCCTCGAATAGGTTTTATCAGAGCTTCTTAATCAATTTTTAAAAATATAAATAAAGCTTTATTTTCTACACTCCTACTTTTATACTGATTAAAATAAATATGGCTGAAACTGCTTTATAATACTGTTATTAGAACAATAAACTTTTAGAGTATTATGTCAATCTTTTGCTCTGTTTTGGTAGATGGAGAAAAGGCTCGTTTTACCTATACCTAATCTAGATGTGTGGACTAATTATGTGGACTTAATTGGGCTCTTCTGTGAGGAGACTATCTGAAGACTTTTGTACATATCAGGCTCAGCAAATGTGAGTTTTCACCCCGTTTGTCTATATTTCTGAACCTTCTCCAAGGATGGAGATTATAAGGTTCCTGCTCAGCTGCACAGCTGGAAGGTTGTAAGTCTAGAGAATGTGAGCTTTCTGTAGCTTTGTTGACATCCTTCCCTGTAGGCTGGAGGGATAGTGTTGTCAGACCTGGTAATTTTCAGATGAGGGAGGTCTCAGAGCTGCTGACAGCAGTAGGCCCAGGCTCAGAAGATTTGGCTTTTTAGATTCTTCAACAGATATTGATTTTCCTGAAAATCAAAAATAAAAGTAAAAAAGTCAGTTATCTCTAAGAAAAACAAATGGCAATTTATTTTGAAAAAAAATTTGATAAACTGCAAAATGGTTTGCCATATACAAACTAGTTTTAGAATGCTTTTTCTTCTGTGTGGAAAATAGCTTTTAAAAGTTTAAAGAAAAAATCAGATCACTAAACAGCAGCTAATAACTAACCTAGATTATAAAAATGTTTTCTAAACCAACTGATTATAAGATTTACTTGGGGGTATTTATTAATATACAGACCCTGGGACCCAACCTAGATTTCTTGAATCATACTCTCCACAGTAGGGGCCTGGGCACCGCTCTAGAGATTCAGACTTTATTGGCCTGGGATGAGACCCAAGAATTGCTATTTTAAAAAAATAGCCACCCATATTCAAAGTTCATGTTTAGAATGCCAAGTTAAATCATTTTGGAAGACTTCAGGAGTAAATAGTTGACCCTATTTACATGGTGGAATGTTTTTGCCAATAAAAAGAAGGTTCTGTCTTTACCAATGATGAAGAATGCATTTATTTGTTCGGAATAGGCATACCCTCTCAATTCCTTCTGGTCAGCAAACATTGGGGAAAATGTCTATTTTTACACCACATATCTAAATAAGAGAGATAGAAGAAAAGTAATAAAGTCTCTTCCAAGTAACTTCAAAGTGCGATCAGGACTAAGAATCATTGATGCAGTTGAACCAGGAAAGCCTAGCACTGAAACAAAGGAATCCTAAATTTAAGGATTTGTTTTTTAATCTCCAGATCCCAGTGACAATTGTTACTCTAATTAAATAGGGGAATGTTCAGGAATGCAGTCTTTCCCCAATTTTGTTTTTGTTCTCTCTCATTTAGATCTATGGGGTGGAAATCGACATTTTCCCCCTAATAGTTGTAGACCAGAAGGAACTGAGAGGGTATGCCTATTCTGAGCAAATAAATGCATGCTTCATCATTGGTAAAGATAGAACCTTCTTTTTACTGGCAAAAACATTCCACTGTTTAAAAGGGTCAAGTACTTACTGCTGAAGTCTTCCAAAATGATTCAACTTGCCATTCTAAACATGAATTTTGAATACGGGTGGCTAAAATAAAAAAATACAAACAACCATCACCTGTCACACTTCTATGTACAATAGTAGATTGCTAACAAGGTAGCCTAGTTCTGTCTGTTGTTAATATACCCAAGGACAGTTCATAGAAATAGCTCCAACAGTTACATTATTTTTCCTATCACCTTCAATTTGCCCCCAGCCTGGGAGCACTTAAGCTTAAAGTTTGTATTCCCTAGCCCACGTTACCATACTTTCCATAATCCATATTTTTCTTAGTCTACCTACTTACTGTTCCTATTGCCCACACAGAACAACTTGGTTCGTAAGAAGCAAGAGCAGAGAGAGAGAGAGAGAATATCTTTCCACTGTATTTGGAGCAATGGTCTAGGAACCATTTTTGCTATCCTTACAAGTACAGCTATTTTGACTTTTGATTAGCTGGGATCAAGACCCAGGGATATGTGTACTAAACACAAGCTTTTTAAATGTTTCTTTGCATACTGAGCTTTGAGAGTTCATTATTGTTTTTTTCTCTAGATAGCCCAGGTAAATAATACAGCTAATCTATCCTATTGGTTGTTTGTAGGCTCTACTTTTAAAAGCATTTAAAACAGTGTTATGGATTGAATAGGGTCGGCGCCTCCACCCAAAAATGGTGAAGTCCTAACCCCCCAGTAACTGTGAATGTGACCTTATTTGGAAATAAGACCTTGTAGATGTAATCAAGTTAATATATTAGGTTGGCCCTAATCTAATGACTGGTGTTGTCACAAGAAGACAAGACAGAGGCATACAAGGAGAAGACAGAGGCAGAAACTAGAGTGATGTATCTACCAGCCAAGGAATGCTGAGGATTGCCAGCAAATATCAGAGGCTCGAAGTGGAAAGGAAGGAGTCTTTTCTACAGATTTCAGAGAGTGTATGGCCCTACTGATGCCATGATTCCAGATTTCCATACTCCACGCCCGAAAGAATAAATTTCTGTTGTTTTAAGCCACCTGGCTTATGTAACATTTTAATGGCAGTTTTTAGGAAGCAAATATATGGAATAATCATGCGGAAACCATAGTGTTTTGGAACCTTTGTGGCAATGTTTCTCAGAACGGTCAAGGGAAGTCCCTTCACCAAAATCGCCTAGAGGGTGCTTATTATGAATACAAACACAGACCTTTTCCCAGACCCTTTCCATTGTTTCTTAGATTAGAATCTCTGGGGACAGTATCCTGGAATCAATGTTTGTAACAAGTTACCCACTTGTTTCTAAGCACACTCTTCAGGGAACGTTTTTCAGTCCTTGCTGTACTTCAGCATTACTTAGTATTTGAAAATGTATATACATGATTCTTTTCTTCAGGGCTTCTGATTCAGTAGCTCTGTGTGGGGTTTGAACATCTGTATTGCTTAAAACCTCCACAGGTGATTTTGGTGTGCAGCCAGGGCTGAGAAGTACCAGTCTACAAATAGAATGGAGCACTTCAAATCAGGACTCAGACAGTCCCAGACAAAACAGTCCCAGACAGCCCACATTGTTCAACTGCCTCACTATGTATTCAAAGTGCTTCATATATAGGTTGTCAGTCCGACGGGCCTTCCTCCTCACCATTTCTCTCAGCAGCTCCTTTCCTTAAGAATGGTAGTAACCCAGAGATAAGGGCTTAATAGATTTTTCACCCGGGTATCTCCTAAGTTACTTTTTCACCTGCCTTCCAGAAAAGAAGTGTAAGGAAAAATAAACACTCACTGCTAGTGCAAGCCAAGTGGGAGAAATCTCTATAGTATTATAGTATCTTTGTATTCCCCTTTGAACCCCAAGTACAAACAATCAGGTAAGTCATATTCCTTGGTTTATGGCACATGGTCATCACTGGTAAATTTGAGCCCGTTTTTATTCTCTTATTTAATAATATATTGAACACCCATAGACAAACACCTGTGGGCAAACATCTACAACTTTTGATTTAGAATAATAATTTATATGACATCTACCTATGCCCCTCCCATCTTATCCTCTTACCTATCCTTCTATAGAAATAACTCATAACGAATATTCTGAATTTTGTGATTCATTACCTTCCTTTTATACACACACACACACGCACGCACACACACACACACACACACACACACACACTCCCCTATGCATAAACAATGTTAGTATTATTTGTTTTGAACTTTATAAAAAAATAAACTTTTTTATAATCTTTATAATCTTCAGTTTGTAATCTGTGTGTAATCTTCAACTTGTTTTTTATTCTATATTTTATTACTATACAATTTGTTTATAACTAGTCTAATAGAATGAAAAAGGAAAAAGGAATAAATGGAAGTCCACATGTTGCCTTTGGATTTTACTCCATTCTCCTTAGCTTGACATTCAACGCTGTCAATGCCCTGGCCCTGGCTTACCTTAATTCCTTCCAATACGCTCTTTCCAATAAAACTGTAATGTGCACTCTTACCTACTTCCCTGCTTCCATGTTTTTGTTTGACCAGCTCCTTCTATCTTCACACATTTCTGGGTAAGAAAATACTACAATTCTTCAAGATTCAGTTTATGAAGCTGATCTTGACTTTATACCCCAACCCTTTTTTCCACAGTGCTTTGTATTTCTCCATAGGAATTAAATTTGCCAAATATTGTAGTTATCTATTTGATATATTTTCTTCTAAATTCTAATTTACAAAATTCTTGAGAGTCACTTTCAGCAGTCTATCTCTTATACAGCTTTGCTTGCAGTAGCTGCTTAAGAATTATTGAATAAATGCGTGGGCATGACTGAAGAAATATCCCTAACATTGACAGTTTGAAGAGAAGCACAGTCTTGTCTCTGATCCGATTGCTACTATAGCTTGGATAATAACATAAATTTCTCTTTTCTTTTTATTCCCTTCCCCCACTGTTCAATTTCTTATCGGAGACTAAATTCCAGATTATAATTTAGTATTAAATTATCACCTAGTTAGAAATTTTGTTAATGAAGTGCTATTTCAGTTACAAGATTTTAAAGGAAAACTACATGGAATGGGTTAGATTTTAAATTTAACTTTTAGAAAGTTCACTTGTGTCTACAGATAATTTCAATAACAATTGATAGTACATTTTCTGCCTCTTATACAATTGACCCTGAATATTTCTTAGATCTGAATACTTATTCATTATTTATTGGAATTCTATGAAGCATGGAGAAACTTAGAGAACAATTATCTCAGATACAGTTGTCAGTTTCTTTAAACATTTCCTTTGAAAGTTTGGAAAACTAACTAATCATATATTTCTTAAAGCCTCTATAGTCTGCAGGAGACCAAACAGTCTAGTCAATTCAGAGAGGTTTATGGATTTAATTCCTTAAATCCATTAAGGACTTTGAAATGAGTAAACGCAAAGTTAGATATTAGGAAATCCTCGTTTTTGTTACTGTGGTCCTTTATCTATGACAACTTCTCATAAAAGCTTTTCAAACAGTATTGCCATGGCTCTCTTTGCTAACTAATTAATGAATAGCACAGACAATATGATTGCTCTGTTAAAAGCTCTGCACCATTTGGAAAGAAAAACAACCATGCAATTTCAAAAAGGATTCAAATGCTATTAATTCTGAAGGATACAATTTTTGTGGAAAGAAATATTTTAGCATCCTGCAGTTCTTTCTGGAAAGCTCATAAAATAAAAACGAGTTTCTAGTCTTTGTAAAAGTGATTGAAAGCTATTGAAGGATAAGGAAAAGAGTGAGAAGTAGAGAAGAGGATAAAGAATTAGGAAAAGAAAGAAAGGAAGATAGAGGAAGAGGGAAGGGAGAGAGGAGGAAAAGAAAGAAATGTAAGAAATGAGTAAAGAGGATGAGGGATATGGGATGGAGACAAAATGGGGCAGGAAATGAGTGATTATGAGGACAAGAAGGAAGGGAAGGAGGTAATATTGAGGAATAAGGGAGAAAAAAGATGAAGAGAAGTTTAGGGGAAACGGAAAAGTGAAAGTTCAATTTAATAACTGGCCAATGTCCAATATTAACTTGTACATCTTGTTTACTTCACTTCTAATGTTTATCAAAATACCCACAAGTGATATGAATGTACCCTTGGTTTTCTGATTGCATATTTTGTAATTAATTTGGTAAATAAAAACCTTAGTAATAAAAAAGTCTTGTGTTTTTAGTATGAACATTGAAATATCATGTTCTCACTAATTCTTCACATCAGCATAGTATATGTAACCTCATAGGAGGAAAAAAACATAAACTCTCAGATCAAGAGTTTTGTTCCCCAAAATGATAAGGGAATAGCTTTCTGCATTGATCAGGCCTGAGAGGGATTCCTTGAGTGAAACTTATTTCTAACAAGAGCAACCAAGTTCTGTACAGGACTCCAAAATCAGATTAATATTTCTTTGGCAAACATTTATTGAGTGCCAATCAAGTTCTAGACACTTTGTTAAGTGCTAGAGATATAAAATAAGTGTACCCTGATTTCTGTTTGGTTCTCGGGGTGCTCCTAGTAGTAAGTTTTATTTTCTTTAACTTGATAAGGTTCTGGGAACAACCCACTGGTAATTTTACATTTTTCTGCATGACACCTGCCTATATAATTCCAGAGCTGAAATCTAACCAAGTAGTTAAGGAAAACGTTCAGTGGAACAATTCAGAAAAGAAATTCAAAACTGTCAATTGCTATCAGCTTTTAAGAGTTAATGTTTTCTATTTATATTTTTATTCCTAGCTGAGGAGAAAAAACTAAGAGAGATAAGTGTATCTAGTTTCACATCACTCTGAAAAAACGATTCCAGTAGCAGGTGCTTCTTCAGTGGCTGGAGCCATTAAGTAATAAGCTTGCTCAAGTAGGGGTTGCTGTATCTTCTGCAGCAATTGGTGCCTATTTATCACACCTGCCGATAAATGAAATAATATTTCACGGGGAATAACATCATAATATTTCCAAATATCTCTTACCTCTCCTGGCTCACAGTATGAATAGGACTGGTCACTTAAGTATCCCTTTTGAAGCTTGCACCAACAGGTAACTTGTTCAGGAGAATCTCTGGAATAGCTGGAAAATAGAATGAAAGCCTCGTTTTGCCAAAGAAGCAGGGCTATGCTCATGCAAAGTATGGTTTCTCTTTCATCTTCCTAAAGAATAATCCCTTTCCAGAAAAACAGAAAAACGCCTTCTATTACTTAAAATGTTACTTAAAATGCCAGTTACCACTTACAGCTTCAGATGCCTGCTCCTTATAAGCTCCGAAAAGCAAAGAGAAGTCTGTTTGGATGTGTGTCTGCCCTCTGGAACATTTGAATGGAAGCAGCCTGAATTAGTCAAAGTCCCCAGTTCCTCTTTCGCAGGCAACAGTTTAGAGTATGCAGGAAAGGTAGTGATTCAGCTCTGCTCTGTCTCAGCGGTGTGGAGAGGGAGGAGATAGGAGAGGCTGAGAAGCCAAGTTTGTATAAGCTTTTTACTTTAACCCCTTCGAGGCTTCCTCATGAATCTGTAAGACTAGCTGAAGCTCCTTATCTTTATAAAAGCTGCTTCACATGTCAAATAAGAGGATCAAATCTCTAGCTAAATTCAAGAGGCTTTTCATCCTAGGTCTTACAGTAATATATGCTTAGAATTGAAACCAAACATTCCAGAATGTGATGATGCTTAAATAATGCCATCTTTACAAACAGAATGTATGCATGTGTATATTTCTAGGTTTGAAAAACTTTTTTAAGGCACCAACTTAATACATTTGATTTAAGTATTTTGTGAAAATTTAACATCAGCCTGAGTTTCTGGTTGGTGTTCTAAGAATAAAGTAGAACATCTTCTAAGTAGTCATATCTAGCCAGAATGTATATTCCACTATAAGTTATTCATCTACCTGTAGTCAAAGGCCCTTATCATCTTTTATATATTGTGGCAGGAGGAAGGAGATTAACATTTCTTTAGTGCCTACTCTATATCAAGAATTTAACATAAAGAACTTAATTTAATCCTCACAACAGCCCTGTGATTTAGGTATTATGATACTCATTTTACAAATGGGGAACCTGAGACTTAGAGAGAAAGTATATTATACAGTTTAGTAAGCCTGGAGCCAGCATTGGAAAACAAGGCCATGCGATCCCCAAATCTCTGCTTTTTTCTCTGTAGCAGTGGTTTTTAACCTTTGTGGATCTTGGATTCCTTTTAGAGTCTAAGGAAAGTTATAGACCTTCCGCTTCCTCAGAAATAGGCATATAATTTCTTTGCTCCATGGCCTCCAGGTTAAGAACAGCTGAATGTCCCCATGTTACTTCTCCAATATTATACCATCATTAGTGCATTGTTCATCCAACAACACATGATCATAAACAATTTTTATTATGGTATCAATAATCACAATACTATTAATCATAGCATCATGCCAGTCTTTGAGGAATTATTGCAGTTATTTTCCCTTTATTCCCAGATTCTCCTTCACAATTCTTGCATATTATGCCTTTCCATTTCTCTCATTCTAGTGGTTAAAATGAGTTGAGGCTGTCCTTGAAATCTCTGCCTTACCAGTATATTCTAGTGCCTTCTTTCTCAAACAGTGGAATATGCCAGTGTTTCTCAAACTGGAGTAGTATGCTCAAGAAAGTACATAGTGTATTTTCCTAGATGATTGATTTTACTCAAATATTTGGACACGGAGAACATAGATAGTTTAAGTGATAATTTTAAACATAGTTTATATGCATGTGTGGCAGGGCCTCTTTGGGCCACTCAGACTTCCCCAGGGATACATGTTCACTCTCCTCTGCCATTTGGGATATTTTAATGAAAAAGTTCAAAGATCATGGTGTAGCAGAAAGATCAGGGACTTTGATATCATATTGACCTGGGTTTTCACCTTAGCTTTGATCTATATTTTCTGGATTACCTTAAGAAAGTCAGTTAATTTCTCTGAGACTCAGTTTTTACCTATAAAAAGAGGGAAAATTATAAAAGAGGGGTTATATTAGAAAATATCTCTAAAGCTTACAGTACAGATGCTCAACAAATCTTAATGTTGTTTCAAATTTGCAAATGTCAATAGACGATGAGGCTACTTGAATCTAACCAGAGGTTTCGCCACGGATAATTGACCTTTTCTTAACTAATTAGAAAAAATAAGCTGTATTTAGCATAATATTAAATTCGAGTTTCCAGGAAGACATAATAAATGACTAGTTGGGAATTCCAAAGCCAGATCATCATATACAAAATTTACAATGGAAGCGCTCCAGAAGAGGTTCCAAGAAATAAAAGGGAGTTAGATTGTGAAAGAGAGTGGGAAGGGAAATTTGTGAAAACCTTTCTTTGTTCAGAGCTGTTGCCAGGCCAAGACTCCATTTCACCTTCCACAGGAGTAGAAATCTCGTGGGTATTTCGTTGGATCACTTACAGAGCTTGACATTTATTCCCTGTAGTAGAGGGGGAGAGAATTGGAAGTGTACTCCATTCTGAGAAAGCTAATGTGGCCCTAGGCAGGAGAACAGGGTTGACTGTGTTGGGATTGGCCTTCATTCTCAGAGTCTGTTAGGGCAGGGGATGTTTGATTTTTTCCTAGGAATCAAAGGGGGCCATTCAAGAAAGACAGTCAGGGTAGGGTCATCCTGAACGCTGTTCAATACAGCCATCTAGAGGGGAGGAAAGACCCCATCAACAGGAAGCTGAAGATAACTGCTGGATTCCTAGAGGCTGAGGAAGGAGTTGTTAACTATCAACCTAAATAGAAATGCATCAACTCAGGTCTCCTAAATTACAGGAGAGGGGTCTTCAGTGATGGAGGCCTTTGGAGAACCCATAGAAGAGCCAGAGACCTGGAGAGTAAGAAGCCATTCCACCAAGGAAGAAATGACCAATACTTTACCTCTCTTCCCTACTATTTCCATGCTGGTGAGGATCCAAATAGAAACTGGCAAATGCAGAGAGAAAGAAGAAAACCTATCACTCCATTTTTTTCCAAAGGCATTTAGCCACCACTACAGGCCTTAGCATGGGCTTAGTGGGAAACAAGGCCTCATCACTGAGTAAAGATTGAGAAAGTTGAGTAATATCTTGGACTGAATACATTCTAATTACTAAATCAAGGTTATGTTTTGTGACTTAGAGTGACCTAAGGACTGTCTATTTTTGAAGAAGTGAGCAGAAAATCATGTGCTCTATTTAAACTTCCATCTATGGTCAGGAAAAGCTTACCTCAATGGGGTACATTTTATTGGAACATGAGGAGACAAAATAAAGTTGTGTTTTGATTCTATGATAAATAATACTTTAGAAAATACTGGTTGTACTGACTAATTCATCCCTTCAACAAGCATATGATTCCTTTCATGCGTCACACATTGTGCTAGGAATAGGACACACAGTGAAATAAAATATAGTTCTTGCCCTCAAATTACTTATGATCTATGGCAGGGGTCAGCAAATTCTTCTCTAAAGAGCCAGATAGTAAATATTTCAGACTTTAAGGGACAAGTACAATCTCAAATACATATTCTACTTCTTTTGGTAACTAACCTTTTAAAAATGCAAAAACCATTCTTATTTTGAAGGCTGTACGAAAAGAGGCCATGGGTCAGATTTGGCCTGTGCCCTCTAGATTGCTGGCTCCTAAATGATGAAAGTAACAAATTTTTATAAACCACCAATTACCGTACATTTATTATGATTGAAGATGTGTTTTGGGCACTAGGAGAGGAGACACAGAAGAGCATTTGCTATCTCTGACCTGGAAATCAGGGCTTCCAGGAGGAGGCAGTGTTCACTTGAAACTTGAAGGATGAGAAAGAGTCAGACTTAAAGGAGGTCAGTGATATTCAAGGCAGAGAGAGCTGCCTGTACAGAGGCACCAAAGCTTGCGAGAGCTTGGTTTACTTAAGAAACTACAGAAGGGGAAAACTGAACCTTAGAGAGGTTAAGTGGCTTTCTCAAAGTCACACAACTAGTAAGTGATGGAGCCTAACCTCTTAACCCAGGTATGTCTGACCCCAAACCTGTCTTGTTAGCCATGGTTATAATATTCCTGCCCTAGTATTGAAGCTACGTCTAAGATCTACTTCTAGTATCTGCAAATCAGCAGCTCTGTTTGGCTCACTTCTGATTTCCCTATGGGTAAAAATGACAAAGTTCTAAAAGGGCTTGCAGACCTTAAAAATAAGACAGTGAACCAATAATGTTGGGTTGTCTTAATTAGAATTCTAATTTTCCCTTTTAAATATAACCCCCTGCCCCCAGTAAAACCTAGCACACATTGTTAAAATTCAAGTAATTTGCTTGTTTCATCCTTACAGAAGAGGTTTTTTTTTCTTTTTTCTGGTAGCTAAGCTCTGGCACTGCTATAATGTAATTTCTTACCTTCTCATTATAGATTTAGACATTTATAAGGAATGGCAACCTCTGGCTTAGACTATATACTATGATTGATCCAAATACTGTTACCATCTTCATCATTCACACTGATGACTTTGGGCAAGTGAGATCACTCAGCACGGATGAACCTGTCGATTTTTTTGCTTATTGCTTGGTGAATTTTTATTGAGGTAGTATGGTTTAAAAGCTAGATTAGCCATGAAGCAACTACTCTCTGAAAAACACTTCCATTAAAAATTGTCATGTACTCTTGGAGTCAGCAAGAATAGGGATTGAAATGGGGAGAAAAAGGGAATAAGAATCGCTCAACTTGCTGTTGCTGGACTTACAGTGTCAGCGGTGCTTAACCATAGTTGTGCTTTTCACTCAGGGGACTGAGGCCTGAGAATATGTAGTTTTAACAAGTTCCCTAGCTTAAGAATCTTAAGAACCACTACCTTGAGGGAACAAACAGACAGGTATCTCATGAGCTGACTGTACTAAATAACATACCAGACACTCTTGGTCTATGTACAGAAATTCTGCTTAAGATATAAATATCTATAAGCCAGACATGGTGGCTCATGCCTGTAATCCCAGCACTTTGGGAGGCTGAGACAGGCAGATCATCTGAGGTCAGGAGTTCAAGAACAGCCTGGCCAACATGGAGAAACCCTGTCTCTGCTAAAAATACAAAAATTACCTAGGCATGGTGGTGCACACCTATAGTCCCAGCTCCTTGGGAGGCTGAGGCAGGAGAATCACTTGAACCTGGGAGGCGGTGGTTGCAGTGAGCTGAGATTGTGCCACTGCACTCCAGCCTGGGCGACAGAGTGAAGCTCTGTCTCAGAGAAAAGTGAGCGAGAGAGAGAGAGAGAGAGAGGGAGAGACAAGTTTATTGTTCCAATGTTTCAGTCCGTTACACTGTAAAATGAGCTTTTATTGCCAAATCAATTCGATGCTATCATAGTAATGAGTATGATGTTCTTTAGTGCTCTACTCTCAGAAGAAATAGAAAAAAATAGTAAAGTGGGAACTCAAGTTGTAAT